GGGGGTGGAGGAAAGGCCGTCACTACATGGAATGAACCAAAGTCAGTGAGACAGGCAGCGATCACGGTGAAGCCGCGCTGACCGATTAACTTCGTTTACGACACTGCGGCTGCAGTAGTGATGGTGGTGTCAGCGATGATAGCGGTGGCTGCGGCGTGGTATCGACAACAGGGCGGCCTTTTGACAGCAGCACCAGCAGCCGCTACCACCGCCTTGTGTTCCTACGAGCACAGAGCGCACACGCACACGTATGTCGCTGCCCTATATGCGCTCACGCACACACGCACGCACGCTTGCGACGTCGGCGCGCTCCCCTCCTGGGCCTGTTGCGTGCTTGTGCGCACCTGCGTGTGTCAGCTTACGTGCACGTCCTGGCAACCCATCGATTTTAAATCCTGCTGCCTTTGGTTTCCATCTTGCCTTTGTGCGTCCTCTCTTCCACGGTCATTCTTTCACTTGGGGTATCTCAGCAGTGCCCACTAAACCGATGCACCGGAGCTTCTGTTGTGTTAGTGGACCTTGAGACCCAGAAATCTTTTGTAAAGTGTAAGCAGGAGCCTTATTAGTCCTTAAACGGACTAGTAAGCATGGTCTCGAGACCTTTGAATCTTTGGCAATTAATTTCATTTTGGATTCAATCGGCTCGTTTGTAGTAACTACTAGGTTCTTTAAACTGTAGGAACTTTCTCATCTTGTCTTCCCAGTGTTACACGCAAAGCGCGGAGGTGTCTCTGTCATTTCTGTAGTTGTGCAGATGTGGTAAAGCGTTCCAAACGGATGGTAGTCAGTTACCTTTGTTGCAAAAATGTATTGCATGGCACTACACCAATGGTGTTTTGTGAGGGCAGCCCATATATGCTTCGCCGACCGCCGCCGCGGCCGGCTTGCAAATACTTATTGCCACAATCATCTACATTATGCCCATGGGTGCACGCACACATACCCTTATTCATCTGTTCTTCCAGGCATATCAAAGCCTCAGCTGGTGGCACTGCTTCCTCTGACAAAAGTCGGCGCACCACGGCGGAGTCGGGAGGTGCTCGAGAAATGGTTACGGCTTCTGAATTCATCACTTATATGAATCAAACTGGAGGTGGCAATGCTACCACCAATGGTGGTGCTGATCCTAGTCTCTCTGGTGCACCTCCCCCATCTAAACCCCCGCCACCAACGATGGCAGCACCTGCCATTGAGACTACAACCCGCAAACCTGGCACAAATCTTGCTGAGATTGACCCTAGCGCCTTCGCACAGACTCTGAGTCATCGATTAGAAAAGGTCAAGGAGTCTCGTGGGAAAATAGAGCGCCTTCTCTCCCGCATGCAACCGGTAAATCAACTAAATTTCTTTGCTACTCTTGTTCTACTTCTTCTCAGTTAGCTTTTTTGTATCCGTATTGAAGATTGATCCGGAAGAAGCTGGGGGTGAGGACGCGGAACTGGCCTCAATTCATGCGGAGGTCAACAAACTGCCCTCTCCCCCACTTCCAGCCCGTTCCACTCGCCTTTCTTCGAATTCTCGTCGTGCTACCTCGGCTGCAAGTGGTGATCTGTTGCGCAAGAAACTCTCTGCTCTTCTACCTTCATCTGGTTCGGGTGTAGCTGTTCCTTCTGTAGACGACGCTCAAGTCATTTTGGAAGACCATTGTTCGCGCATCTGGACAGATGAACGGCGTAGTCAACCACTCAACGTTTGTCGCAAAGGCGGTCGTCGTTCTGATGTCTACTCCATCTCCTCCTTCGACAGTGGCGTTGGCACTTGCGGTGGCGGCGGTGGTGGCTTGAACAGCTCAGACTCGGAGTCCTGTGTTAGCCGTGGCGGCGCCTTTCATCATCATCACCATCACCAACAGCAACACTATCGATGGAATTATGCACCACCCCCGCCACCACCGATGTGCTCCTTCTGCCGACGTACCCCATCCATGAACTCAACTCCTGGGGCTCATCGCAAAGAAGTTGCGAGCAATAGTAGCAGTAACAGCAACTATCGGTGGGGTGTGCAATACCAACGGATGCAGCAGTACCTCCATGGCCACAGTCATCACTACAACCTAGAGGAGAGTGACTGCTGTGGCGGTGGGAGAGCCATGCGAAGCAGGAGCTTGACATCCGATTCACCTAGTGTCTTTGATTCGGGCCTCTCCTCCACCTATGATCACTTGCCTCCGCCTCGTCGATCTAGACACGATGAGCACAAGTTAGTGTAAGTTCTCCCTCCAGCCTCCAAAGTTGGCGTACAGTTTCACAAACCAGTGTAATGAACTGCTATCGCATGCTTTACTGTGGTCAAATTGCAAGCGCTATCATTAAGGTTGTTGTTGACTGGATTGCGTAGATTGTTTGAGATGTTACGCTTCAAAGGCAAGAATGTAGGCTTTTTCTTCATGCCGAAATGGCTTAGCAAGCGCGCAAAGCCTTAATCGCCGCTGTGCCTAGAGAAAATTCTAAGTGTGTCTCGGTGAGTGTGTGTTTAGGCTCCTGATGTTTGCGTGCACACAACAAACACACCCACCCACTGGATACATGGCACACCATACACGCACACGCTCGTTTTACCTGGCCACGCGAACGACATTGCGGTTGCAGCGGCGACGCGGCTTACATCAAAGCGACTCCACATCAAAGAAACCTGTACCACCGCCACCGCCTTTCTCGCTTACTCGCCAGCCCTCTCTCCATGTGTATGCTTGTGTGGGTGTGTATACGCCCGCGAGTGTGCATACGCATACGCACGCACCCTCACTTGTGTGGAGTTTTATAGCGCCTCCCCCCACTTTATCGATTCGCATGTGCACAACCACAGGCGTACGCAACCGTCTCTATTGTGCGCGCGTGCGTGTGTGCTTGCAAAGGGAAAGGTGGCCACTCGATTATCAACGGTGTTATGCACGCATGCGCGCGCGCCATATGATCAAAGCTGTCCTTCTGTGAGGGTTCTATCCTTTCCATTGGTATCTCCCTTAATTCTTTTATACCGTCCGCCACTACCCGCCTCTTGATTAATGCATGTAGAGTGCACACACAGACAGATCCTTTGATGGGCACGGTACGAACCTTGCCTCAACTAATCTTACATTGCCTTTTCTTCCTCCTTCCCCTGTGTACAGCGCACGTGCGTCTGCATAGTTTTCCTCTCCACCCCTCTCCCTTTCTTTGCTCTTAACGGCAATAGTTATTTCAACTAGTTCACTCATTGCCCGCTCGTTCGCTTCCTACCTTGTACTTCATCCTTCACTCCCCACCTTTCCGGTCATCCACTACCTTTTGTATGTGTATGTATGCTGTGTGCCTGCGCCAAGAGGGTTTCGGGTTTTTTCTCTTCCGCCGCCATCGCTGCCTTCGCCTTGGTCGTCCTCTGGGCACATACATACAGACACAAGTGTTTCCTTTGCTGCAGCCCCTATCCTGTCCTATCTTGTGCGCTCTTTGGCATTTTAGGCCACAGACTGTCGACGATGCTACGCCAACGTTTGGAGGGCGTTTGTCGCCTCTGCCGGATGGTAGGCCCATCCTCCTTTTCCTTTTAACCGCGCTTTTTTATCTGTTCATGTGTCCAAGTACAGTACTGTTATGTTTAATTTTAGATCTAAATCGTCTGCTGGGTGATTGTGACGCTGAAAGAAATGTCACTCCTGCTGCTCTCACAACCAATCTTGATCTCCTCAATCCCAGTTATCGTGCTCCTCAGCCGCCGCCGACCAGGTCAGTTCCTGAGCCAATGCACACTTACATACACAAGCACACACATAAAGCAGTTAGATTGATTATTTTTTTCACCAGGCTAGTGGGTGCTTACTCTTCCATCGTTGGACTGGTTTTACTGGGGTTCAGATGGTATTAATTGCTAAATATGCCTGCGTGTGCGTGCACACTGGCCACTTCATACTGTAGGCGGCGGTGTTAGGGCAACGTCTGCTTCCGATGTCCGCTTGATCCGCCCTGTGGATATGTGCACGTGCTCTCGACGCTCCAAACTCCGACACACCGGCGCACATGCGCACACTTAATGTGCTGATTCAGGCATGCACCCACCGCTTCCTCGTATAACACGCGTTGTGACTCATAAGGTTATCCACCCCTCATGCATCCATCCATTCATTGCCCTTCCTCCCTTCTCTCCCCCCACACGTGCGCGAATCCAGACTTGTTCACACGTTCTTTGGAGTCATCACCTCCAATTGTGCTTGGATTGCGCCAAGTCTTTTCGCATTCTGCATTAAAATGCGTACGAATTGTTCGAGCGTTTGAGAGTGTATACACTTGCTGGTCCAATCCTGCTCACCTGTTCTGGGTGAGTGTCTGTGTGTATACACGTTGTGGTGTGTATGCACGGATGCTCGCTCGGCCGTATAGTGTGTCTTCAATGTGTATCAATGGCTCTTTTTGTTATTAGTCTGCTTTTTTGTATCTGCTCTCTCTCCATTGGCCTACTTGGTCATGATTGAATGACTCATCGGGGTCTCTTCGTCTGACGCACGCGTGTAAGGGACCCAAACTACTAGCCCGCTACTTGGCAAACGACCAAACAAACCAGCAGGCGAGCAGGGGCTCGCTGAGGGGAGGAAGAGGAGGTGGTGATGGGTTTGGAAGGTGTGTTAATAGTTTGGCAAGCATCACGACTTCTGTCGTAATGCTGGGATACCGTTGAGTAGAGTAGGCAGTGGGGCGTAAGGCAAAAGGTAGGCGCCTTAAACAAATGGTCTCTTCTCTCCCTTTTCTTTTAGCGAGTGCCCACCATCAGTCTGGTGCAAGGGCTTATTTTTTGTTCCTTTCAATCTTTAGACCAGATCGGCAAAAGTTTGCTCAGCAGAGCAGCTGTAACGCTGCAACAACGATGCGATGTACGGAGAGCACGCTGCTCAAGTCGGCCCCGGGCTTTCCCTCTCTCCCACCACCGCCTCATCAACAGTCGCATCAGTCACAGGCCTCTGCAGCTGCTACCTTCAATCTGGTAGTTGGCTACTACCTCTGTGACGATCCTGTGCCCTATCGCACCGTTTGGACCGGCCCTCTCACCGCTAATGCTGCCGCTACTCCCAACAACCCTCCTTCGATTACTCTAGGCCAGTTCAAACAACTGGTTGCCAAGCGAGGAGTCTATCGGTAAGCCTCTGTTTTGTGAGCTGTGAAAGTTGCCTCGCGGGTCCTTTCCTGATTACCTTCAGGAGTGAAGGCTGATAATTACGCATTGTCAAACCGAGACGAACACAAGGGTGTTCTGCATGTTAAACTTACTGACCTAATCAAAGTCTAAATTATGCGGGGTGTAAGATGTCTATTAAGTCAGAGTCATCGAAGCGACTCTGAGTAGATGAGGCCCTCTTTACATGTGTGCGTGTGTGTACCGTCGTTGGTTTGCCTACTTTCGGGTCGTTGGCATTGCTGTGCTGGCTTCCTCATGACGCGCCTTGAAAATCAATGTGTGCGGGTGTGCGATGCGTCGTAGCCCAGAATCCGGACGCACGCGCTAAGCTGTTGATGGTGTGTTGATAGTGGCGGTGACGGCTGCGGCGGCCGACAGGGTAATAGCAGCATCAGCTTCAGCCTCGTTGTTAGCAGCAGCAGTCCAGTCCATGGTGAAGTTTCTTGCTCTGTATGTGTGTGTGTTTTCGTCACCGGCTTTGTGTATATACAAGCGTGGAGGTGAATGTGCATACACGCGCTCGTGATTTTGGGTAGCCTTTTTGATGTCTCTTCTTCTTCTTCTTCAACCGCTTTCTCCTTTCCTTCCGCCCTACCGACCTTCATCCAAGTCACTCCTCCTACCATATATTCTACTTTTGATATACCTCAATTTTTTCTCTAGTCCATCACGTTCTTCGGCAGATGTGGACTGATAGTGGAATTAAGTGCGGTGCTTGAGGTATAAGTGAGGGATACGCGCTTTACAGACCTTGCAGGAAGATGAGTATACATTGTTACCACAGCTACCACTGCTGTATTAGCCTTAGGAGGCCCCAATGTCATCAAATACACACATACAGACACTAACTCCGGCTACGATGCACGTACTCACACGCACGTGTCTTGCGTTGCTATCCTTATCGGTTGTATGCCAGTAACTCTACGTGTTGTTTGTCGGTCGACGCCGACAAAGGCCTCTGTGTTTCCGGTTGCTCCTATACACTTACCTGGTCTGCTCTGCAATGTATGTGTGTCTGTGCCTCCAGTTGCCGAACTCTCTTCCTTGTTAACCAAATAACTTGCTATTTATTTACCACTCAATGAGGATAGAAACCTTGTCTATAAGTGCACGCAATAGCGGCTACCTTCACGTCCTACCACTGCAGCCATGCTTACCCCTGCCATTGTGCAAGGCATTATTCTCGCAGTCAGTTATACATGTTATGCAACTCATAGAAAATTATTCTCCGATATATCCTTCTATGCTCTCAGAATAGAAAAAGTGGAGTTTTTTAATGTTAGTGGTCCGTTACTTCTATGGGTAGGTAGTTATTTGAGTGCAAAAGTTACAAACACACTCCGAATGGCTTTGACTTGGGGAAGGTTCCCAGTTGTCCACCGACCCACCCACCCTCTCTCGCTCTACCTGCCCTTCCCCTGGCTAGCCAGCCAGCCAGCCAGCCAGCCAGCCAACTAGTCTGTCGCGCAGTTTTATTCCAGCGGCTTGATCAAAGTCACAGGCATCAAACGAATGTAAGTAGGCGCGCAAACGTCCTTACCTGTCGCCGTTGGACCTCGTGAAATCGATTTTGATCTGGATTTTGTCTTGAATTACTGTCATGTCAATGGTGCTCGCAATTATGCATAAATGGGATTGTTGCTACTCTTGTAGTTTAGCCCTCTTGAGGTAATTTTTACCGCTCATATTCGATCAGCATACGCCACGGATTGCCTTTATCTTGAGGCACGGACCCTGTGCATGTGTCCCTTCATCCTGAAAAGGCTTTTGGTTTAATTGTGACGGATGGTGAAGTTCCTCTCATTCCAACAGTGGAACTGGTCACTTTGATTCCTTTGAAAGAGCAAGATTGGGACGTGCAAGCGTTTGTGTGCGCGCGCTCTGTGGAGGCTGGGATGCTGGTACTGTCTACGCTGCTGCAGGGAGGAAACGCCCTGTTTTACATGCAAGGTTTCTTATGTCTCTGATTTTCATGTAAATGTTGTAGTGATCACTCTTTCCTTGGTCTGACTCCCTACACCCACCATCGCGTATCACACTGCGCACTCACACAGATCGTTTTATTGTTCAGGCGGGGCGCAGCGCGGCGCAGCTTTGTTAGTCCTGTGTTTGATTGTGAGTGAGTTACTGAATGCGTGTCGGCCTCATCAAAAGTACGAACGCGCGTCCGCGCACACGCAAGTCAGCAAATAGGCCTGGGAGACCTCTCCCTCCTCCCTTCATCCCCGCATCCTCTTTCACTCTTCGCCCTCCACCGAATGCGTGAAATCGATGTTGGTGTTTATTAGTGCGTGAGCGCACGCGTCTACGTGGAGTGCTTGCTTTGAAGGGAAGCACGTGCGCAGAGCAGAGTGGAATCAAAGTAGTCGCGCACCGCCTCTTTCATCTCATTGCAGCAGTTTTAGAGGGGGTGGGAGCTGGAGTGGGAGCGGAAAGGCTCTTGGCTGGCGAGCGCGTATGCGTGTGTACTTACAGAGGCCGGTTTTCTCTCAGCAATCATGCTGGAGGGGTGGAGGAAAGCGGTAGTGTACGCACTTGCGGGTACCGGCGGTAGGTGATTAATAGACACACGCACACACTGACATCAAACGAGCACCTCGGCGCCGCTGCTGTGGGAGATTTGTGTGGTGCGCGTCGCTACAAGGCGCCAAGCGAGCATCGATTCCGAGTTCTTTGTGTGTGTGTGTGCCATCCATATCTCATCGAGCCCCCCTTCGATGCCCACGACTTCAACCCCTTTGTGGGTGTACTTTATACACCACCTCTATCCATTCTCTGTTCTCCTGATAGCTTGACCAACTGACCATCCATGACGAACCGGAGATGATGTGATGGCTATTGTTTTAGCTTTGAATGATTCTCCGAGTTCTGTCGCGCTACTCGATTCCCTTCTGACGACTCCGCTAGGGTTCTGCACACCGCGAATTTATGTATTTGCAATTGGGACCTCATTTAGGTCGTAGATCTTAACATTTTCATTTCCTTCCTTATGTTGCTGCATTGTGTTACTTCTTGACTTGTATTCTTAGTTTTCGACGATCTATTGTTCAAGTACGCCTATCGGCGGAAGGGATATGGGGAATTAAAAGTACCTGCAGCAGGCAGTTGCCTTGGTGACCACAGAAGTTATTGATCTTTTATCACATTTGTTTGGAAGAGGCTGTGTTGCGCTCCCGTGGATGCGCTTGTTCGCTTGCCTGCTTTTGCGCAGCTCTTGCATTCCACATCGATGAAGGACACGTCACTGCCGTGCTCAGCATACGGTCTACTACCCCTACTGAAATTACTTTCTACTTAACAGCCTATAAGTAGTATCGCTTATGAGTTAATGACATGCTTGATCACGTGTTGTTCTGTAGGTACTTTTTCAAGACGGCCAGCGACGATTTTGGCACTGGCTGCGTACACGAAGAGGTGGGTGATGACAACGCAATTCTGCCGCTGTGGGAGGGAAAGGTGATTGCTCGTGTTGAACGCGCCGATTGATGAGGTGTGATATCGTGTTGGTCTGCGTTTGTGTGTGTGTGTGTGTGTGTGTGTACAGGAGGGGGAGTGATTTTCTTCTATTCTATCAAGTCTTCCTACCCACTTATACCTAAGACCTGCGTACTATGGCCACCCAGTCCACTCATTCACCAACACACATTTAATCCAACTGCAGACCCAGTACCTACATACCTATGATGAACATATTTTGCTCTAAACGGTGATTTTCTCCTCCCTGTCTCTCTCCTCCCATCCCCGTCTATCAATGTACAGATGCTTTCACTATGTCCAGTCCTGCCTTCCCTACTGAAAAGCCATTTTATATGTATAAATTCGCGGGCGTGCACACTGATATTCAGATTTCGTATGTCTCCTCCTTCCATTTGGGAGTGCTAGGGTGTAAATGGCCTCCGCCTGATGTAGCCTAAGACGCTCTCATTTTTGAGCGCAACCCTTTAGGGACCTGAGCTAGGAGCTGCAAGAATAAGCAGGTCTATATCAGTGCCTTGGATGGATGCCATTCTACCTAATCTAGGTAATCAAACTTCAGATGGAATGACCAGTTTCTTGAATTGTCACCAAATTGGTTGCATGGATCTCTGTCGTAGAGTTTTTGGGAGCACCTTTGAAAATCACAAGCCAGCGAGCATTCTCTAAATTGCATTTCAGGACATTGTATAGTTTGTGCCTTCTTTGTGATATCTGCAGACTTATTTTGACTGATGCCAACCCTTACTAGTGAAGGGAATTGAAGCTCTAAAATCTTAATTCACTCCTTTACCAATCACCCTTACTCACGGTTTGACAACAACCCCACAGGTGTTAATCAGTGTAGGGCCTCCCTCTCTTCCATATCTCGAAAGAGTGAATTGTAGTGGCGAAAAGATCAAAGTGCCATGCCGCTCACGGTCCCCTTGACTGGTCACATGTTCCTCCATTGACAGGCTTGTCTTCTCAATCCTACGGATCGGTGTTGAGACAAAGAAATGCATTACGGAAAACGGGTAAAGGCAAAACCAAGATTGCTTGAAGCTCCTGTTAGAAGCATAGTAATTAGTGCTACACATTTGTTTTTAAAACTTTAAACGCGATTTTAAGAAGGACTCTGAGGCAAGATCGTTCTTGATGTGGAAGGCTAGCTTTTTCAACAGACTAACCCACGACTCAAGGCATTAGTCTCCAACCAACTACTCCCATGAATGGGGAGAAAAGGGAAGACGCCTCGAGTTGTAAAAACATGGTTAAGGAAATAAGGAGACGTACAATGGTCCTCTGATGCAAACTTGTGCTTCAATTGTTTTCACCCAACGTTGCTCAGATTAGGATGTCATTCAAACCGTCTCCGTTTTATTGTCATATCCACCTACTCACAAGCGCTTTCAATGAAATAGAGTGTGCAGGAAAGTGACTTCTGATGCCATCAAAAGGCACCTATTTTTTTCGAAAAAGACCTCATTAGGGCAGAAATAAGTTTTGAGCAATGTAGACACAAAAAACTATTAGTCTCCGCGAATGAGACATCGCGCGTGATTTACCACTGACTCGTGTCGTGATGATTCAGCATGGATTCAACTAATTCAGCTATCTTTGTCATTTATTCTTAAAACGATCAGTATCTCCTTGATTAAGGGGACGGAGTGCGAATCAGTTGGCGTTTCCATTACCGCGAATGGCTTTCTTTTCACCTTTAGCGGAAGAATCGGAGTGCAGCATAAAACGAGTTGAAGAATAGAATCACTCGTGATTATTGCCGATTTTACGAGTTTATTTATGGAAGAAGCGATATTTTTAGCCTGCATTAGAGTTTCAATAATAAATGAGTGTGTTCAAATGTGCAACCACACTTATGACTTTTTGTCTGTTCCTATGCAGGCATGTGGAGCTGCATTAAGCTCCCTCTAGCCCTTCCCACCCCCTCTTTCCAGCTTCAGCAATCGCTGGGAAAATAAGTAAGCGAATAGTTACGAGTGTTAGTTTTACGGTCGGTTTAGTGTGAGACCCGCGTTCTCCCACTTTTTAGTATCGATATGACCAAAGCGTAAAAATCAGCAGAGATCTGAGGAGAGTATAAAACGAACTCGTAATGCGCTCAGTTCAAAGGAGAAGACCGCGCACTCAAAATTACTTTGATGTTGGATCACACGGCAAGTGCCCTCTCCCAAAGTGTGGGTGCGAGAGAGAGCACCACCATGTTCACGGTCCCGTGGCTGATCACAGTTTTAAGGTCATCTGCACACCCCTCAGACACTAATGCAGCGGGATAGTAATTATAGCTCCCGAGTGTTTCCCAGTTAAATTGGCACACAGTCAAATGTGATTTCAAACGAGAGGGTAGAGGCGGGTGCGGGCACAGACCAACGCAGACGCAAAGACGGCACAAAGGAAGGGACGTGCTTTCAAATCTCGCGGCTCGTTTTATCCACCCGCCAATCCCTCCTCCCCCCATGCGCCATTCGCCCGGTGCGTGCGTGCGAAGGTTGGGAAGATGGCGGAGGCGGCACATTTAAAAGTTTACGCAGAAAGGAATTAATTTTTAGGTAAATAAATGGGAGACTTGAGATGTAAGCCACATGAGCTGCACCGATGGTGATTCATCGGCCAACATATTCCTCCTTGATTACTATCCGCTGGCTCGGGTCATACAAATGCAAGCCCGACTGGAACGTATTCACCAATACAGAGACAAGTTTTTTTGAAGAGCAAAAGCTGAAATTCTTCTGGCCTTAATGTTACGTTGGCAATAAGCGCAGCCTCTGCATGTTGAAAGGGTCCATTTAGAGTCAAACTTGGTGTGGCAAGCTTTAATGTGATCGAATCATTTAGCAAGTGGCAAAAAATCCCAAAAAGACAGGCTAATGGAAATGATGGGGATCAAAAGTTACTCTCTTGCTAATATTAAGGATGGATGCGGAAGCCGCGCTTTCGATTTACTTAAAAAACATTGCATAAAACTCCGTCAAGACTATGAAATGGATGCAAACCGATTTTTAGCTTTGGCTATCAATACAGTCTAGAAAAAGGCGAAGGGTGCGGACAGAGTGTTCAGGCTGTCTCTATTTATTTTCCAAAGTAAACATAAACTCTCACATGGAGGGAATCCGTGCACTGGCGCTCAAAATCTCAGGCAGATCAAAGCTTTGAACCGCGCGAATACAACGAAACATATAAATTCAAATTAACACGACTTTAATGGGTGATTTACGCTACACTTTGCGACTACAAAAGTGGGGCAAAATAATTGTGTACACATCGAGAGTATCCAGGACTAATCTTAGAACAAATACAAATTCGGAAGGATTTTCGATGCTCGTGGAACATTTGTTGCTTTTTCAACTGGTAAATCAGGACATGTCTTAAATTGCCTTCTAATTCCTAACCGTGTAATTGACATTGAGTAAGTTGCTCCCTTCGTTTTAATTAACAAAATGGCTCGAAGTTAATGCATAGGTCACATGGCGGGGTAGAAGAAGACCAGCTGATTAAAAAGCAGCCACATCTCATCGCATACTCCTAAATTCTACATAATTAAAAAGATGCATAAAAAGCGGCTGACATCAGCGTACCAACGATGTAAGCAAATTAAAGTGCAGCTGTATTCACTTCGCACTGCAAAGCTTATTTCCTAATTCGATTAAGCGAAATTGGCGTCAACCTTTGGTAAACAATTACAATAATTCATAGCACAAGCAAGTGCGTTGATGGCGTTACAAAATAATTTGGCTTTTTTGTTCGTGGAGGGTAGTCGATTCAAACAATAGATTAGACGGGACTCGGGAATATAGAGATAATAAATCGCGCATAAGCCTAAACGAGGCCGTCTGAGGATTGTTTTGTGGATCTCCCTGTGGTGCGACCAAGCCGAATTGGTGCGCACAAATGCGAGATATCCATGCCCCTCACGCATAAACGTCCAAAAGCGCTAATACGGGTGAATTAATTCACTCTTACTTTGCTTTGAAGCGCTTCGGCGGCGCAGTTCAGAAAAGTGTCTCCCTGGTTGTTTTTTTTACTCTGTCCTGCTCTCTGATTCCTCACGCGCCTGTGCGTGCGTTCATTCGTTCGCCCGCCCAAAAAAACATTCATATGTGATGTCTGCCCTTAGCTCTCTTGATCTCCCGCTCGCCTGCTCGGCAGTTGCTGCTAAAGTGAGTGCTCTTTCAACTGTAAATCGGCGGTGGCAGTAGCTGAGCTGTCTTTGGTGTGCATCCGTACCATATACGTTGCGTGTAGTGGGACGTGCACGGCTGCGCATACGTTCAGGCCTTAAACGGCGTTTAGCCTATTTGGGCATCAATCACCTCCTAATTGTGCCACGTCAAATGAAGGAGATGCACAATTCTGTGTTGGATCGATCTCCTACCGGCTGACTTGCCTTACGGGGTTGGAACTAATGTTTACTGGTGCCGCGGAGGTATTCATTAAGTTTAACCATCGCCTAAAACATTACACAGACCTCCTTCCTTTGCCCCCTAGACAGACCTTTATGATTAGAAATGTCGTCCTTCTGCGCTGTGGTGATGCGGTTAAGCCGTAAAAAGGAGCCATAAACCGCCCCTGGAAGGGTTATTGGTGGTGGTAGTTATGATGTGGACAAAGCCAGACCCAGGTTCCCCTCTCTCTAAGTCGTTACTTTTTATCATTTTAAAAAATCAGAGTTTCCACAAAATAATAACAACATATTCTTTAAGTAGGCAGTAATTCTCAGTGTATTTGTAAAAGAAAGTTCATTTTTTATTGTGTTACGGAGGATTTTGAGGGAGAGTTTAAACATGAGGAAGGTTGCTAGGAGGTATCACCATAAAGTTTAAGTTAACGGATGCAGTAATCAAGTAACAAATGTAGTCCGAACTCCTAAATATATACTTGCGAGTGCAGCTCTCTGAAACTGCTCTGAAGGTTAAAGATCCTCTAATCCTAGGGCTTGCGGCTACCTGTGAAGGCAGGATGACCAAATGCCCCTTCAATACGTGATAAACATACAAATAAAATCCTCATGGGGA